ACAGCACGGCAGCTGCTAACTGCCACGCGGGGGGATTCCGCGATTCCCCCATTCCCCCTGCGGCAGAACGACCCCTCTAGCTAACCATGGTCCGCAATCAGCGTACATTAATATGCACGAAAACAATAAACAATCCAGGGGAGACGGAAAGGAACCAACTGAATGGGAGATTTCCAGGGGCGGATTGGCCAGGGGGGGGATGTGGGGGATTTCGGCAGAGGCGTTACAGCGGCAATCATGGAAAAAGCAAGCAAACGCCGCCATTATGGCCATCCCGCTCCAACCCAATACCACCACCACCCCCCTCGTCTGCCTCTGTTGGCCCGACTCAACTGACAATATTTATTGCAAATGCAGCAATAAATTTCAAAACACCATTCGCTAAGCACCACATGGGGTCTCGAAAATTGAAGATAAATTTTAAGGCGGCAATTTATGATTTGTGAGCATAAGCGTGAGTCAGGGGCGTCGAAGGGGGGGCGGCTCGGTGCCGGCTTGGACCGGGCACAATCGGCTGAGGCCGCTGCTGACAAGTGTGGAGTGTTTGCCGCCGCACTCCTTCACTCACCCATCGCCCCTCTCGCTCCCGCCGCCTGGCCCTAGCCCCGTCCCGCTCCCACGGCCCGGTCGTTTTTCAATTGTGTTTGCCGCGATTTTACGACTGCCCGCTGCGCCTTTGACAGCAGCCCGAGCCGATCCGGTCCAAGGAAACCCTTCCACACACCGCCCAAAATTTAGAGTTGTTCAATAATACAAAAAAAAACCTAATTTCGAACTCGTATTTTGAGGACATTGTTTTTTTAAATCCCTCTATCCTTATGGTTTAAATTTAATTTTACATAACTATTACATTAACAAATAATTGTAATATAATATTACTTATAGTAAATAAAATTATATAAAGGTCTTAATGTTACAGTATATTATATTATGTTATATAAGTTAAGAGCCACTATTCTTTTTCGCAAGAAAACGTGAACATAAAGAGGTAGAATGAATTTACAGAAATTCCTTCAATACTCTGTAAAACATTAGGAATTAATAGAATCTTAAAATCAAATTACAAATTAATGTTGGTATATATTTTTCTACCAAAGAATATAACACATTACCTAAGAGATCTATTACTATTAAACAAGAAGTACATTTATATCTCTCAGTGTAGCTTAGAGCCCAAGACTGTTGGCCAAAGAGCCGCGGAATTGTAGAAGGGAATTGCTTTTCGGCAAAACGGAAAGGCATGGAGGAAGCGGAAACAGAGGGCATTGCAAGGGGTTAAAGTCTCACTAGGGGCCTCTAACTGGGATTTGAAAAATTACTTTTACCAAAGCTAGTTAAAATATTTTTCAGTGAATTGTCAATCATAAATGCTTTTAAAATTAACAAAGCGTTGGCAAAGATTTTTTATAAATATTAAACCAATTTGTTGTAAAGTTTTAATGGCATAAATAATATTTTAAGCTTTGCAATATACAAAAATTCATAAAAGCAATAATAACAGTCTTTCTTAATTAAAATTTATTGATCAATTAAAGCCAAAATCACCTTAGGAATTCGTAATTTGAAAGCCACCTGCAAAAATATTTAATAGACACTTGCAACCATATATATAGTTGGTTATGTAAAATATATTGATATTAAATAAAGCCATACGACTGTTTCCAGAATATAAAACATGCAGAGAAATTTCAATTTTTAAAAGGATTCCCCCAAAACGTGAAACATGTGTATTAAAAAAATTGAGAAAGGGAGTCAAAATCAATTATATATTTCAAACATATTAAATTAATATTTAATTTGTACTATATTTTACTTTTATTTTCCTTAAAAACAGCTTCAACGAACCACTGTACTGGGCAGGACAGAGCTCTCCTTACAACACCTTGGTGCAATTATTCATTCACTTGCTAACCGGAGCGGCGGCGGAGTGCTGGAGGTAACCAAACCGCCAGACAGGATCTCCTTCGTTCCACGGCAACGAAACGGCGAGATGCAAACAACAATCCGCTTCAAGTCGAAAATAAGAAAAAGGTTTATGAATGCGCTCATGAAAAATGGAACATCGTTAAGAGCAATTCATAATGAAATACGCGGCATGTTGGGGATTGGGGGGAAAGTTCCCCGGACCTGGACCTCAACCAACTGCAATAAGCTGAGCCCAGGCGGTCGAACTCCACTTTTTGGTTTCTTCGTTGGAAGCAGCATAAAAATGATGACCATAAGCAGGATATTGGGTTAAGGTTTTATTATTCTTACCTCCTTGTGTGTGTTGCCAATAAACTTTGTTGCTGCAGCTGATTTCCACCTTTCGGTTTCTCCTTTTTTTTGTCTTGGTTGTCCAAATGAAGCTGTTGCAGTGCCAGACGAAAGCGGTATTTCAATCAGAGCTGAAAAATAAGGGCATGCCATATACATGGTGCTATGCAAGCCTTATCAATAATTTCGTTTTCATATGCGCATCGGCAGAAAGATACAGATGGGGCCATAAATATGATTCCGGGCCGGAGTGGCTAGGGAAATTTATAGAGTCTGTTGGCCGGGCTGTCAGGTGAAATAAATAATAAATTCGTTATTTTTCGAGGCTCGGCCAACGAAGTCCGCGGCGGTGGCTATCAACAGTGCGGAGCAACGACAATAACTCCAGGGGCGTATGATGGAGGCACGCCCACATTCAGCAGCCCCAAACACTGGAGACCTCAAACAGTGGAGACCCCAAACCGAACGTCGTGCTCCCTGCACAGCTGCAAATCGCACTCGGACATCGTGGGGGCCCGATGGGGAAACAAATTTGAATTCAATGAAAGATGAAATCATTAAGTTTGCAGGCAATTGAAGGCGGCTACGAATGCGGTTGGCTTTAATCGTGCTGGAGTCGCACAATGGGACTGGGATCGGATCCGATTGGATTGGGTTGGATTGGGTTGGGTTGGGCTTGGCAGGGAGGAGGCGATGATATTGCACAGACTGTTATGACACAAGCCAGACATTCACCGAAAAAATGTTGAGGAGGAAGTAGTGCCGCGAAATCAAGAACTCAATTAGGGAGTGGATAAAAGTTGTGGAAAGAAGGATTACCAGAAGGATCGTTAAGGCAAAGGGTGCAGTGTATTTTAAGGATCTACATGATCAAATCAAGAAAGATGAGTATTAATTGTGAATCTTGTTTGAGTTCGGGTAATACTCCAAGCTAAAACCTTTTTCTAAGAGGCTGATTTTCGGTTTGTTGGAAAATAGAATGCATTTCTATGGCATGCATATTTGATTTTATAATCAAAAACGGAATTTTTTTAAACAAATTGCCATAATACATTTTTCCAAGCCTCCAATTTGGATAGGACCTTAATCTGTTCTTTAAAAAACTATTTCATAATTTGCCTAATATATAATGGAAGCGAAAGAAATGATTATTGAATGGTAAATTGATTACGATATCAAACTGAACTGATTTCAAACCCTATATAGCCTTTGGTTTGTCTTATACTCCTATTTCCTATGACTTTGAGGGACATCCAACTTTTTATATAAGTTGTATTTTTCCAAATTATTTAATAAGGACCCTAGTGATCCAAAAAGAAACCACTTTAAGTCCATGGGAATGTCGCCACTTCGTGCACAAAGGAAAAATACGGTGGCTAATGAGAGGCATAATCAACTTCCCATATTGCATACACAATTGATGCCAATGCCCGGGCCATGCCCAATAAATATCAACAGCCACACAAATTTGCCTGTTGGCCAACTGGCAACTTCAAAAAGAAAACAAAAAAAAAAACCCAAAAAGAAAAAAAAATAACAAAAAGCCGTGAGCCAAGAGAGCCGACAACAAAAGCGCACATAAATCAACGATCAAGACAATTGCGGTGTAATAATTTTAACTTCTTTAAGTCGGCAGCCAGCCCACACCGCACACCACGGCGCACCACCCTGCACCACCGGGCACCACTGGGCACCACCAACTCCACTCCAAGTCGATCCGATTCGGCGGGGGCCCATAAAAATAACAGCTTATCGGCAAGAAGAATCGTGTCGTGGCACGCCTACCAACTCAAAAAGGCATTAAAATATGAAAACAACAATTGCACACTCGCCGAATGATCGGATGGTGGAGGTACTCACCTCAAGGGGAAATCAACAGCAGTCTGGGAGTCACAGAGTGGCCGACACGCCCCCTTTTCCTCATTGTAGGCGTCAGCCGTTGGCAGCGGCACGTTTTCCACCGTGAAATTCCAAACTAACCTCAACCACCCGCAGCATCGCAAGGCGAGTCAAGGAAGAGGCTAAACCGAAGATATATAGGTGTATCTGGGTTGCCCCTCGCCCACTGTGTCCTTGCCCCATCGCCATTGTTCAACCGCAGGCGGATGAAAGTCGGGGGAGGGAGAGGGATCGGTTTCAGGCGGAGCGGGCAGTTACAACTTAGTTAGCTCAGCCAGAATTGCAGGCGATATCTCAATTTGGGGCTCATAAAAATAACGAGTAATAGGCCATGTCCAAAGGGGGTGGTCAAAAATAAAACTGTACAACTATGGGATACTCTTTAGGAAAAATCGGTTTTAGAGCTGAGGATGTTTTCATAATTTATATTTTATTACTTGATTAAAACAAATTCTTGAGTTGAATTTCACTATTTTGAAAGAAACACTTCAATCACAAAACGTTTACTACAATTAAACAATTTGTCCTAAAGTATGGTATTAAATATTGATATTTACTTTTAGAATTTCCTATATAAAAAGGAATATATCTTCTAGAGATTGTTAGTGGTTTCTTACATGAGTTTGTGAAAATATTGCATACTTTCTGGGGACCCATTACTTTTAGAGACGAGCTTGAAGCTAATAAATATTCTTTATTTTTACAGTCGTGTGGCAAATTTTCGAAAATAAATTATAAAGTATAATTTTGCATACGGTATAATCAAAGATGGCCAAACTAGAAAAATATCTGGGTCTAACTGTTTATCAAAGTATACGGGGACTGAGCAATCAGTCTCATTAAAATCATACTTTTCAACCACTGACATCTTTACAGAACACAATAGGTCCTACAAGTCCAACACAAAACAAACACCATAACCCAAAAAAATCCAATAATTTTGCATTTTGGCACCCACTCAGATGTTCGAGAAGTCCTGAAAGTGGGCAACCAAAATTGACAATGGCAACGAAGCTGCCCACCCCCCGCCAGCTGGCCTACCTCGACGAGCTGAAGATGCGTCTGCAGGAGCTCCGCGATCGGCAGGCGACCTTCATGGAGCAGACGGCCAAGATGCTCAGCCGGATGAGCTCCCCCAACATGGAGACGGTGGTCGGTCAGCCCATGGCCACCGTTCAGCCGGAGGGAAGTGCAGAAGTGGGTGGCGGGGTCACCAAGGGTTCAAAGGGCAACCTCAACATCAAGGAGCTGATAAACCGCTTCGAGGATCTGCGCAAGACCTCGCAGGTAGGATAACTAAGCTAAACAAATAGCTTAGCTCCATTAACTTGAAAGAATTCGATTACAAAATAAGAAGTGCTACTGATTAATCCCAATCTCGACATAATTAGACACAATAATCGTGTTTTATTAATGGAAAGGTACAACAAATTACATTTTTCTTAACAAATAACTTTTTTAGAAATTGTGGTTTAATTTATACATTTTCATTCACTATACATGCAGGAGTTTGGTGATTTGCCCGAGGTTCCCGAGGAGCTGATCAACGTGGATGTGCGCCGCATTCTGAATGGCTACGAGAAGCTCATCGAGGATGGCAATGTGCTTCAGCACTCCTGGTTCCTGCTCAAGAAGTCCACGGAGAGCTGTGCCCGTTTCGCCAGCTCTAATGGCCTCAAGTCGGAAGAATGTATTCCGTCGAAGACGAACTCGGGCATCGTTGAGGTCTCCTTCGTGGTACCGGAACGTAGTCCGGAGGTGGTTAGGATATCCCGGGTCAAGAAATCTCCATCGCTGCACTCGAATGTGGTCACCAGTTCAGAGATTGTGGATAAGAAAAAAGAGGTATTCACTCCAAAGGATGTGAAGTGGAAGTGCAGTGCACAGGACTATGGTAAGAACTAAAAAAGAGTAGAAAGGACAGTTAAATGTAGCCTTAACGAAAGCATTATCTAATTCCTAGGTCATGCGCGTTGGGGAGCCTTCGTGCAGCTGATCATTCGCCTCACCCGTCCATTCCACGGCTGCCGTAAGAAGAAGGCATCCCAGCACTCCTCCTCCAAACCGATTGCCCGCCACCTGCCCAAAAAGAAGCCCATACACTAGGCCTTTTCTATAGCCTGCCACACACATACACAAAATGCACAAGTAAAGATCCAAACTAAACCAAAGCAATCCCCCCACATAATCCCACTGAAAATAATCCAATAAAACGACCCACACCCAAAAGATGCGTTAATCAATAGCAAACACCACACGTCAGCGTGTCAATATTTTGCCTAATTAATGTGGCCCGGCTTGGGCGCAGTGGCGCATCAATTTCGGGTGTCAAGTGCAATGAGGGGGAACGATCGCTCTGTGGGTCCGGTCCCCTGGTCCGGACCACCATCAGCTAATGTATATAGCCATATAGCCATAACCAAAGCCATAGCCATAGCCATGCGATGGCGACGTATGGCAGCAACTGCTGCGCTGACAGCGCATTTTAGTCGCCCATGGAATACCGAAAATAAATCTTGCCCTGTCGTGACACAGAGCGGATGATGCACTGTTCAAATTATTGTAAGCCAAAGAAATCGAAATTCAGAAATGGTTAATAAAATCACAAAATTAAAAGTATATTTATTAATTGATATGTGAAATCAAATACCGTCATATTTATAAAATCATCTTTAGTTTTAAGTTATGTTAAGAATATGATTTTACATATAAAATGAAAGTTAATAGTTTTCTTAAGATGTACATATATCATAAGAAAAACATTTTTCTATACACATATTTTATTTAATAAACAACTAGTAAATATAAGTATTTCTATAATTTGTAACTTTCATTTGAGTCATTTGTTATTTGCTTTATACCTAATAAGCACAACAAATTTAAAATGTATGCAATAAATAAGCCGTTTAATATTTTTGTAGTGTAATAAAGGAGTGATACATTGGCTTGGGAGGGGTATAAACACTAAAAGCAACGCAGACAAAATACTTGGCCCCACACAACACACACGCATAGCGAGAAGTAAACATTTAAATTTAAATTAAGTGGCTTGTACGGCATCTCCGAATGCAGCAGCTAATGAGTGGAGGCCCACTCCATGTGGGCAGATATAGAGGAAAATACATTTCAGAGGGCGGGGATCACAGCAGGAAGCTTTCACGTTCGGATTATCAACGAAATTGATATATTTACTTAAGCGCATGGCTATATGTCTGTTTGCGATGAGATATGCATCTTCGTGGGATCTGATTAGCTTGGATGTTCAAATCTGGCTGATAGCTCCCCAAAACCAAATATTAATTAATTATATATACATATTTAAAAATAAATTTAAATGTAAGTATAATAATAATAAACTCAGTTAAAATGTTTCTTGATATTATATCCTATATGTGCTTGAACATATAGCATAGCATTCACAAATTGTAACTGCTATCATCTAGCATCCTGTTGGATAAATCAACCTGTACACATTTATAAATACCTAGTTAATTATAATTAAAATTACAAGCATTTAAATCAGAAATAACAAGTCTAAGCTGGAAGGCAAACACGAATTCCAGCCACACCTTAGTTGGCCATAATAAGAAATCATGTTTGGCAATGATTTGTGGCATCGAAAGCCGGCTTGCAGTGGAGTATATATATATATATATCCATGGAATTGATCAAGAGGGGGGATAACGATGGCTTATCTGCGGAGCTTGACACGAGTGGCGATGACGATGGCGATGTTAATCAGCGACAGGCGGCCACTTGCAACCAGCTGGAAAATGTATATAGATATATATGCGACAACGATGCCGCAACATGTGTCCACGGATCAGCGAGGGGCAACAAACGAGTTGCAAAGTGGCTGACACCGCTGTTTCGTTTCGTTGGCGCTTGAATCGATTTGACCTGCAACATTATTTGCCGTTTGCAGGTGGAAAGACCCACCGAATATGGCAGGCCAGTCCACATTGTTCGAGAGGTTTCTTTACGAAGCCAGCTTCAAGGTTTCCATCGCGTTTTAACCTCTATTATGAATATGGCTAATAGGGTTGATCTTGATTGTCCAGTACATAAATCATAATCAGACATCTTAGTAACACAGTGGGTTATAGCCACAACCCAATTTGGAGGCCATAATAAAGAACAGATTTTTTCTTCACTAATTAATTTATGTTTTTAAGCGTTTTTTGTAAGTGTGTTTTGATTGCTATCTTCCACAAGTCAATTATGGATTATATAGCTTATATGCTCATTTAACTGAAAAGCTTTAGTCAGAGTATTTTTTGTCGAAAAAACATTTGGTTGTTTAAGTTTTATTTATTTTAATTATCTACTTAACAAGAGTATATATTTTGTATATTATCATGTTTCTTTCAAGGGTGACAAGGTGCTAGTAATCTACCTGCGACCTTTTAAGTATACATCTGAACCAGTGGTTAAATAAATAACCCAGCTATCAGCTTGTAAACATCCGAAATGTCGACGCCCAGTCAAACATCGGAATCGGGATTGTTAAATCTAGTTCCGCGGAATGCCCAACAATTGTAAACTGACATAACAAATAGTTCTGGGAATTCGTCATCGCACATTTCACAGGGGCGGAAACACGACGAGCACACGCCCACCAACATAAGAATGTGGGCGTGGCAGGGTGCGATGGACGAGAGGGGGGCGGTGTTCGCTTTGATGTTGCACCGACACACGTTGGCAGACGTCTGTTCACCTAATTATCACACCATTTGAGGCATCGTAAAAGCGAGACAGCCAAAGGTAACGAGGGGATGTGTGGGTGGGTGTGTGGGTGGATGGGTGGATGGGCGGATCGGGAAGCCAAATTCAAGTTTCATTTCGCTGCATTTGTCGTGTATATGGGGCGCATCATAAACCCATAAATGTGTGAAAGGAGAGCGGCGAGATCAAAGCCCTCCGAGAAATAAACTCTGCTGAATTGAAGGCAACTTGAACGCTGTGGTATATTTACATGTTCCCTTTTGGATGATTGGATACGGAAAAAATATAAAGTTTTCCATGCAATAAACCTGAATAAGGATAGCGACTTAAATTTTATTTTTATGTCAAATGAAATCATATATTTATATTAACAAGACATATGCAGTATAAAACATTCTTAACTAGAAACATTTTAGATACTGCATCGCAAACCATAAGTTTTTAAAGCTTGAATATAAAGTTTTACTGCCACAATAAATCAGCTAAAATATTCTCTCTACTAACTACTGAATAAATTAAATCCCCGAATGCATTTATCATGTTTACCGGGACTCCGCCGATCTGGCTTTCATTTGAGTTTCCATTAATTTCAGTGTACAGAGCAAATTAGCAGCAATTTACATCCGTTGCATGGGGGCGGGGGGAAGGGGGCGTTTTAAGAGAAGGGCAGAGGAAGCGAATTAGACCTCGGTCCGGCGGGAAATGGAAAATCCCGACCACCGCCAGCTGCACTTGCACATGCAAACTAATAAATTTCATTGATGTGTCTATTTTGGGCTGCCCTCCACCCATTTAAAGAGCCCCGAAGTGCCTGCAACGGAAGCAATTTGTAGCTACAAGCTGTAATTTCTTCGCCCCCTTCCCCCTCCCCCTCCCACACCACCATTCCACCGCACACTTTCCCCACTTTTTCCACTTTTCCAACCCAGAGGCAAACGCCTCTTCTGACATTCCTCGGCCAAATAAAAAAGACGTCGATAATTCTTAAGCAACGGCGCGAAAATCGGCCAAATTTTCGCTGTCAGTGGTCGGAACCTAATGGCTGGCATTCGAAATGGAGGTGAAAGGGGGTGGTGTACACTAGACCTCGTTGGCTTTAGCAAAGCAATTGCTGCACATTTTATTTAACCCTTTTTATGGCCTCATTATGGCCCAAAAAGGAAGAGCGCGGAGTGCAGACAAAATATATATCTTTTCAGCTGAATTGGGGTAGAAAATGGTGCCGGAGAAAGGGGCTTTGAGCGGGTGCGAAATGTCTGGCGGAAATGAGGCTAGGAATCAAGCAAATAAATGTTTTATAAAATGTTTCCAGCACACAAAGTAACTGAGTGCGACTGAGAGGGAAAAGAGCCGTTCCCCAACAATTCTCCAGCCATTAAAATGAAATTTATCGTTCACAATGTTTTATGGTTTTCGAAATTTCGTGCAAAATGGAGTTACTTGGTAATTTTGACGGAAAATGAATGTTTCCATGGCTTGGGTTCATATAAAATGTTACTTTGTCTCTTATTACTTCCTCAGACCCCTTATCATATGATTAATGTAAGCCCATATGAATACATTAAAAAATACATTTAAAAATATTTTAAGATATTTTTATTACTTCTGTTATTGATGATAAAAAGCTAAATAAAAAGCTTGTAAAACCTTTTTACTTACTCTTAATATACAAGTTTTTTAATCAAAAGAAAATAAACACTTAAAATGTATTTTGAGAGAATTTTTAGTGGAGAATATCCAAATTTAAATTTTAATTTGTTAGCTTAATCCTGTATTTGCTTTTTGTTCTGTATGATTAACTTAGAAAACTAGTCGAATGCCATATTTTTCCATACCCAGCATTTATCAAACGAAATCAAATTGTTTTTCTTTCGTTCTGGACCCCGAACGGCCTGTAAATCTCTTCAACTGCAATTCATATTCCCCACAGAGCCCGGCTTTCCCCTCCCCAAAAAAAGGGATGGTGTGGGAAATTAATAGCGGCTAAAACTTTCAACTTTGCCAGAGGGAGGAGCTGCAGCAGCATCGCCAGGAGCAGGAGCTCACTTACTCATTCATTCAGTTTAGCAGGGGCAACTTGTGGCCATAAATTTGAGCGCAGCGCAAAAGTGGAAAATACACCGAAAAATTGCGGAGGCAAGTTGGCCGACCTTCCAAACCTCACCCCCCCACCAACCACTCGCTATCCCCAGCCTCGCCACTTTACAGTTGTGTTTTGGAGAGCAGAATCCTCCTTTGGGGACTGTGTACTCTGTGTGTGTGTGATATCTAGCGCACTTTCAGCGCGACGATAAATTTCCAAGGCAAAATGTGTAAATTATAAATACGAGCAATTATTTTAACTCTACTTAACAAATTACCATGCCGTAGCATATGGGGCAAAAGGTATAAATTACCGACTTTTACGACTTGCGGAAATTGTACGGCGACGACGGCGTTGCAGGCAGGTTATAGCCCGGTTCTCGATGCATGTGTGCGAGAGTATCTGTGTGAGGTGTTCTGGC